AAAAACAACACTGGCTGGGCGCGGTGGCTCACGCCTGTAATCCCAGCACTTTGGAGGCCGAGGCGGGCGGATCACGAGGTCAAGTGATCGAGACTATCCTGGCCAACATGGTGAAACCCCGTCTCTACTAAAAATCCAAAAATTAGCTGGGCATGATGGTGTGCACCTGTAGCCCCAGCTACTAGGGAGGCTGAGGCAGGAGAATCACCGGAACCCGGGAGGTGGAAGTTGCAATGAGCTGAGATCGCACCACTGCACTCCAGCCTGGCGACAGAGCAAGACTGTCTCAAACAAAACAAAACAAAACAAAACAAAACAAAACAAAAAACACGAAGTAACCAATAACAAGAGTTCACCTTCATATTTTAGAGCATTGCACCTAAAGCAATCAGTAGCAACCTTGGAAATCTACCTGGAAAACAATATAAATGTTCTGGAATGTATGGCCACCACCACAAAAGGCACACATACTATTTTACAAGTACTAGATTTACAAGTATCGGGGGAGAAAGTAAATTCAAAATGTAACTAATCCACACACCAAGACTCAGTTTTGTGCAAATAAAACCTCTCTGGAAAGCAGCCTTTGACCTCTGTAGCACTTTTGTCTTCAGCCTCACAGTGGAGGTGAGTACAGCCTGGGCTCCTGGGAGGGATGCACTGTCCCCGAGGAGCCTCCGTCCGAATTGGAGTAGGAGCTCTGCGCACAGTGGTTAAAGATGTGGATCAAATGCATAAGAAGGATAAAGGCCATCTTGTCATTGACCAGGAATTCATCCCTTCTTGGGCACTCTTGTCACACCTGACAACTATCTGGTTGCAGGTTATCAGTAGTGGGCTCCTACCTAGATTAGGTCCATTGGGTCCAGTAAGAGCTTAGGTTCTGACAGTCCATGGCCATGAGCAAGGGTGAAAGTAGAAAATGCAATGAGGAAAATGTATCCAGGTCTTCAAAGGTGAAGTAGGGAAAGAGTGTTTAACTGATCTAAGAAAATGCAGCCAGGTAAATGGGAAAAAATCCAACCAAGATTCTCAACACATTTTCTCCTTCATAGCCTCAAAAGAAACAATAGATTCTTTGATTGGAGGCATTCATGTGGGGTGATTCTGCCTCGATGCAGTGGTTGCTACCCATCACTAGACTTCCAAATCCCTCGCTAAGAATCTGGTGCATGCCAGTCAGAACAAGTATTCTCGTCTCCGTAAAGCGCCCTCTCCTGAGTGTAGTGGAGAGGTTTTATAATGCCAGGGTGAAAACTTTCAAAGTAGAAACCTGTCATTTCTTTGTATTTGGACAATCATAAGCACTTTAAGACCCTTTCTGGTTTGTGTAAATCAAAGGTCTGCACAAGACACATTTTACAAAACAAAGGACAATACAGTCCTCATTCACATCCTGGTCTTGTCACTCCTAGTGACTCCTGCATTGCAAACATCCCAGCAGGGTGCAGCCCTTTATTCTTTCATCCCGGGGGCTTCTTGGGCTCCCGTACTCTGATTGGACACAGACTCCCTGGAGGCAGCTCCCAAGAGCAGAAGACACGGATGACTCAGAAGTTCCTAAAAAGTCACCAAACCAGATGACATAAAACTCAGATTACATTTCACTTTTGTTTTTTGTTTGAGACAAAGGTCTCACTGTCACCCAGGCTGGAGTGCAGTAGGGCGATCTTGGCCCACTGCAATCTCCACCTCCTGGGCCCAAGCGATCCTCCCATCTCAGCCTCTCCACTAGCTCTGTCTCTTATACACATCTAGATGTGTATAAGAGACAGAATCAGTGCTGTGTGTCTAGCTAAAGGATTACAAATGCACCAATCAGTACTCTGTAAAAATGCACCAATTAGTGCTCTGTGTCTGGCCAGATGATTGTAAATGCACCAATCAACACTCTGTAAAATGGACCAATCAGCACTCTATAAAATGGACCAATCAGAGCTTTGCAAAATGGACCAATCAGCAGGAAGTGGGCAGGGACAAATAAGGGAATAAAAGCTGGCTAGCCCCCCCCAGCCAGCAGCTGCAATACCCTTCCACCCTATGGAAGCCTTGTTCTTTTGCTTTTCACAATAAATCTTGCTGCTGCTCACTCTTTGGGTCCACACCACCTTTATGAGCTGTAACTCTCACCACGAAGGTCTGCAGCTTCATTCCTGAAGTCAGTGAGACCAGGAACCCACTGGGTGGAGCAAGCAACTCCGGACGCACCACCGTTAAGAGCTGTAACACTCGCTGTGAAGGTGTGCGGCTTCACTCCTGAAGTCAGCAAGACCACGAACCCACCGGAAGGAAGAAACTCCAGACACATCTGAGCATCTGAAGGAACAAACTCCAGACACGCCATCCGAAATTCCCAGTTCTACTTAGTGGCACAAGGTTGTGTGGTCTTAAATCATCCCTAATCTACCTAGGCATTTTAACATCTGAAACGGGGTAATGATGTCACTTATCTATGTCATCTTACTGTCTGTGAGCGTGGACTTTAATTTTTAAACCCTAATGTGGGGAAGAAAACAAGATGACTCTCATGATTGACCTCCCGGGGATGTCCAAGGAATCTGTGTATTTCAAGAGACAAAGTTCATCAGCTTCTCTCCTGGGGGATTTGGCCACAACACCCAGAGGGCTTGGCAGCACCAGGAGTGATGGGTGGGGAGTGTCAAGCAGGTGGGCAGGACCCAGGAGCCTGGTGACCAGGAGAGACACCCCGACTGGCCATCAGCTTTCCTGGCCTTGTCCTCAGCTAAACTTCCTAAAGGCCTTCTTCTGCCTAATTACACAGAGTGTGACCAAACTCACTCAGGCCTCTGGCAGCCTAAAACCACTGCTCTAAATCCCTTCACCATTTATGATGACACGAAGTTATTGTAAACAGGAAATATTATATCACCATTGTAAATGGAAAGCCAGTGCCTTTACCATAAATAAACAGAAACACTAAGAAACAAGCAAAACAAAACAAAAACAGGGACAACAAAACAATGGAATTAAATTCTATTTGTGTGCTGTCACCTGCATAAAGAGCCCCGGATTTGAGTTGTCTCAGTTGTAAAAGGAAAGACCAAGTAAGGGGAGTTGAAGTCAGATTAGCCCAAAAGTGAAGGGGAGATCCGTGATGTCCATGAAGTGTTGCGGGGTCACCTTGATTATAGCCCAAGCAGAAAGAGGGAAGGGAAGGAGAAGTGAATGGTTTGGACCTTCAGACAAGGAGAAGCCATTCATGTAGCTCAGGAAACACCTCCTCAAAGCCAAAGTCAACCTCCCTTGCAGGTGGGCCCTTCTTGGTCCCTTGGAGGCTTGACCAGGAGCCCTTGGCAGGACGAGACACCTTGGTTGTGAGACCAGCTTTGCTGGTGACCAGCTAAGCAACCTTGGGCTGGATTCCTTCTGTACAACTGGAGAGCTAATGCCTGTGTGCAAAGACTGTCAGAAGACAGCAGGAAGTGGTTGAGCAGCTGTGTACCTGAGCATTGTAACCGCCCAGGGGCATCTTTCTTCCCAGAACTGGCACCCTGGCAGGTCCTTGGCCACTAAAGGCAGTGATGATGATAACCACAGCCCCTCTTGTCACCACTGTGCTAAACACAGTACTTCGCAGGTGTCATCTCCTGAGATCCTGAAGTACCATCACTGTCCCCTTGCACAGATGGGGATCTAGGTTCAGAGTGGTTGGGGGAGGGGGTGTATCCAGGCAGAGAAACAGATCTGGGGGAACTTGATTCTCGGAGGGGACATTAAGAGAAGGGGAAGCTGGGGCTGGAGACTCCCAAGGAAGATGGGGCCACAGAGATGCTTTGCCCAGGACCCAGCGTTGCCCTGGTCAGCCCTGCTCAGATGAGGCCCAAGCAGGTGGCTGTGTTCCCAGCCCAGTGCCTCCACCTGTGAGTGAGCGTCAGTCATTGCAGTGATGATGGCGATATAGAATGTTCCTCATAGCATTACTGTGAGGCAGAGAGCACCAGCCCACTCAGGCACAGGACATGGTCCTGGGGGCACATCTGTCTTTCTCTCTTGACCTCTAGATCTACTAAGCACCATGCAACACCCCCACTCTAAGCATACCCAGACAGGGTCCCCAGCCCAACCTTGTGCCCCTGTTCCCAGAGTCACCCAACCCTGGCCTCTCTCTGGCATCTTAGGACACAGGCACAGCCCTTCTGTAGGCCCTGGAGGGGGCACATCCCCAGCCTGAGTTTGAAGCCTGGAAAATATCTTCTTCCAAAAGAGCTCAGAAGGGCCAGGTTATGCCTGGGTCTATTCTCTCCACTGGCGCCAGGAGTGCCCTCCGGAGTGCCACTTCTGATTATACTGTGGGCTGGGGTCTGGGAGTGTGTGCATGTTTGGGTGTGTAAATCTGCATGTAAGCGTCTGTGCATCTGAGTGCCTGTGTCTGTGATTATGTCTCTGTGTAGCTGTCTCTGGATGGCTCTGTGTTTTTTTCTATCTTTGTATGCATTTGGGTGTCCTTTTTTCTTGAGTATGTGTTGGTTGTGCAAATCTGTGTTTGTGTTTCTGATTGTGTAATGTGTGTGTCTCTGGCGTGTGTGCCCCCTGTGGGAGTGTCGGTGTATGTCTGGCTTCTGTGTCTTTATGTGTTGAGGTGTGTGCATGTGAATTTGCTTCTCCTTTGGGTGCCGTTGATTGTGTCTGTATTTGTGTGTTTATTTTTCTCATAGTGTCTGTGTTCTAAGTCTGATTCTCTGCCTGTAGGTCTGTGCCAGTCTGTGTGTGCATGTGTGTGTGCACGTGCACATGTGGGTGTCCATTGTGTGTAGAGTCAGCCCTGTGGGGCTGTGTCTCATGGTTCTGTGTATCTGTGTCCTCCTGGTGTGTGTGTGTGTGTGCCTGTCTGTGGGCCATACACCTGAGTGCCCAGGTGAAGCTGGGGCAGTTCTGTGCCTCTGTACCTCTGTGCTTGTGGTATCTGTTTATTTCCCTGTGAGTTCCTGGTTGTGCACCTTGGAAGTTGGCAGTCACAGAGAGGCCTCTGCAATGCTGACCTCCAGAGGTGGATGGGAAGTGGACAGTATGTGCTTCTCTCATCCCCAGGCTGGGCCTTCTCTGCCCCCTGCTTTTCTGAGCCTCTGGTGGCCCCCTGGTGGTCCCCCTTAGGTCCCAAGGAGGGATGGCATGAAAGAGTCAGGTCACAGGACTGTGACCAGGGGTGTGAGGAGGACTCTGGGTCCCCAGAGAGGGTTATGTTGAAAGAAGGAAGATTGTCTGTGGTGGGGAGATTCTGGGTTGGAGGGAACCTGGGCCCTGGGAGGGTGAATGAGTGGGGTCCTCTAGGAAGGGCTCAGGGACAGAGCTCCTGGGTCACTGGGAAGTTCTGATGTGTAGGTGCCTACAGGGGATAGATAGGGGCAGGGCTCCTAGGCCCCAGGAAGGGCTAGAGGAGTGCTGGGTCCCCAGAGGCTGAGGCCCTCACTCACACATGCCAGGTTTAGGCTGGGGCACATGTGCACATGGGCATTATTGGGGGACACAAAGGACCATTGGGTGGGGGAGGCAGAGGTGATCTGGCAGGCAAGTATAGTCCCCAGGCCAAGGCTGACCACCCTGGACATCTGGCTGCCCTGGCCTTGCGGGGGCCTCGCTCCAGCGCACAGGCAGGTGCCTGGAGCCACATGGGGCGCACCTCCTGGACCCCTGTGTCCCGGCCATTGAAGGGTGCTTAGGGCTACCCTGAGAAGCTGGTGCCAGGAGGGAGAATCTGGTCCCAAGATATTTCAGGTTGTGGATTAGGGAGAATTACAGGGGGAGG